TTGTGATGCGAAAATTACTAGGCTGGAGGGCTTATTTTGATTTAAAGTTCCATATATCGTAAGTGAAATCCCTCGTTAATAAATGTCAATATCAATATGAGCAAGGGAGTGCCAATTGCATTTTGCCTACTGCTTAGTTTACTTTTGCTTTAAAAATGTAATAGCCTGGTGTTTTATGTGTTTTAACCTTCGCCCCAGTGGGGGGGGGGCATATGTTACCACCCTGTCGCGTTTTTTTGCGTGTGAATAAAAAACCGCGGCGCGTAGCGCCGCGCCGCTTGGGGTAGCTTTTGGTACATCAATTTTGGACAATGTGTGAAATTTTTGACCCCAGGTCATGTCAGGTCAGGTCACCAGGTCAAGTTAACTGACCAAGCCTAAAAAAGTTTGCAATCATGTCCAGCCTGCAGTGTTTGCCAGAAAGGTTTCAAACTTGGTGGATTGCATGCTGTTATGAGCGCCTACAATTTGTATATCTCAGATTTTTCATATCCGTGACCTAAGGTCAGGTCAGTGGCGTGACCTTTCCATTACAAGTCAATGGAGAAAAATGAAAATGCCTCTAGATCCGTGTGTACGCATCGGAACAGTCCAAATATTTCAGAATCACAATAATTTAGTCCACTCGTGATGACCAAGGTGTCATTTTTGGTGATAGCCTCTAGACAGGTCATCCGAGGTCACTTGAGGCTACAAACAGTTTTTTGCCAATAACTCGCGATTGGAAAGAGATAGAACGCTGGGGATGATCTCATTGTGTTTGTCTTGTTGAGACGCATCGACTGATATGCAACATGACCTTTTCCGGTAAGGTCATGACCTTGACCTGAGGTCAAATTTTCAAGTTGACCTTTCAAGGTCAAATTATAGTTCATTCGACGCGTCTCGGCGAGGGGAACACGATTCTGGCCATAGAAATGTCGTGGCTTTTTGTAGTCGTAAGTTATTGTCGAAAAACACTTTTCGTAAAAACAGCTATTTTTGGAGTTTTTGCCCTCTGGAGGCTAAACCGTTGACCTGAGGTCAATATTGATAGTGACCTTTTCAAAATAAGAGTTCAAAAGCTATCGTTTGCTCTTACATGCGTTTTTCTAGCTACCATAGTTCCTGAGATAGCGGCATGTTTTCTGAAAAATATAATGACAATTGGCAAATTTTGACTTTTGATGACCTCTGGTGACCCCAATATTGCTCTATGGTGAAAAATGACTGAAATACTTTCAAACGTACGCATTGAGAGCTATTGAATGCTTTTTACCGCGTCTTTCTAGCCCTCTTAGTTTTTGAGTTAGAGGTGGGTGGTAACATATGCCCCCCCTCACTAGGGCGAAGTTTGCTGAGACCGCCACTGGGGCGCGGGTTAATCCTGTGTTTTAGCAATGTATAACCTGACGTGAGACCAGAATAGCCACAGCGAGGTTTCTACAATAAACTTAACTCAATTCAGGTATTCGAATGGAGACAAACTCGAATTGAATCGGGTTTTCAAATAGCTTTTATTTTAGTTTTATGAGCTTTCAAAATGGAGCAAGTAGGTACCTATATGGCGAATGACGATGCTGAACTATATGTCGAATTTATTTCAACATAAGATAATATAAGTTGACATATATTGAGTAAATTTGTCTTAAATTTATCACCGGCATTTTCCTAGCTTATCATACACGAAGTATTGCACGGTATCTACTAATCGCACCACAATCAACTGAATTAGCATGTTCCGAGCACCACAACAATTGGCATGTTCCAAACACTACAACAGACCAGCGTGGCTGTTTGTCACAACAACGTCACAAATTATTTACACCTATTTTGAGCTTGTGTTTATTGATGTGCTGGCAATAAAACCATGAACGGTAATTACGATATTTGAGCATACGACTTGGATTGGCCCTGATCATTCAGCATGGTTTCTCTATTCCTCATCATGCGGGCCATATTCATGGTTTTCTCATTGCTTCTTCGTATTCGCTTTTGAAATACCCACTTATGCGAATATCCACTCATATTGACTCCACAAAGCTCTTTGGTTACAACCATAACAATATGACATCCGAGTAGCGACGACTCACGAAGGTTCATCGGGCGCTTCTGAAGTTGTATTTGTTCTTCACCGTCATCACCGCGTCACCGAGCGGCGTCAGCACGCGGCGTCTGACCGCCAACTTCTGGTGACTTCTGAAGTTGTATTGTGGTTATTTCACGCTTTAGTTCAGTCTCAGCTGCAGCTCGCAGCTGTGGGAGCGCCGAGCTGTCGACCTTTCCCACAGCTCCGGCCACGAGCACAAACAGGTGACGGCAGCATGGCACGCGCGCGGTCGACGACTATCATCAGCGCTCATTGTCCGCCTCCTCCCCATTAAATCTCGCCCTTAGCGACCAGCTGGTGCTCCATTGAATGAGCGCGGGCCGGGCCGGACCGGCGGACGGGGGCCACGACCGGCGGACGGGGGCAGAGGGGACGGCATAGAGGGGAGCCCCAGTGACGCTCGGCGCCGGCTGGCGGTCAGACGCCGCCGCTGACGCCGCTCGGTGACGCGGTGATGACGGTGATGACGGGTGGTGCCGGGGCGCTGGTGATGTCTCCTCTCAAAGGCTGCTCGCCGCCGACCGCAGGAGGCGGAACCCCGCCGCCTTTGATCTGTTTCACTCCAGTTTACCCGAGAAACTGAAAGGTAAGGGCCGGTGTGTGGCCGGGTGGCTCGCCACGCTGTCCTGAGAGGGTTAAACGGGCGTATAGGAAAAGGAAAGACTGTTAATGGCTGTAAGAAGCCTGGAATTACTGCATTTTCTCTGATCTACGGTGAAGTGAGTGCTTGCCAGTTGCTACCAGCTATTTGACATCCGAAGCTCATGCCAGTTGCCACAACATCCTGCGCAAGTTGTCTTATTCGAAGTTCTTATCTGAAGTGGCTGTGATTGAGTTTCAAACCACATTCTTTGTCGCAGAGGGGACTAATTTTCTATGTTTATGCAGGGTAATTATAGCTATAGTAACCAAATATCTACGTCAATAATAAATGATCATCGAATGATCATGGTTTCCAATGTGTATCAGCGTGGGAAGTGAAATACTATTGAAAAACTTGCCGTCGGCACAAGTGTATCAGGCAGTGACAAACAAGCATCGCGGAATAAATATGCCGTGTTTCAAATGAAAATGAATGCCGTGATTATTGATGAGCATAATTTAGAAGCATCCACGATTGAACGGTGCATATAAGACAACCTCGAACTTCGTTGTTAATGCGATGTTGAAGCTGAGCTAATTATAGGCCCAGGCCAGCACAAAACAAATAGATTGAGCACTGCAGCATTATACCCAGAGACGTCCCCCATCCAATGAATACAATGTGGCATTTCCAACGATTCCATGCTATCTAATTATTTCTATGAGAAAAAAAAAACACTTTTAACCCTATTAGTGGCAGGCTCCTGGTTGAATGGCCTCCTTACAATGAAATACCAAAAGATAAAATAATGAAATAATTATTGATGATTTCATTATTTCATCTTTTGGTATTTCATTGTAAGGAGGCCATTTAAAAGTGTTTTTTCTCATAGAACTTATACCTATGCCTTACATACAGCAAGTGCTTCAACAAGTAAACTATCTAATTATTCATTGAATGATTGGAAGTACATATACCTACTTTCACGCCTGCTACCTCCAAAGATGTCCAATGTCCACGCAATATCCAATGTTAAAGTATACCAAGGGACTTTTATTATTTTGGCGGGAAAGATCAGATGTCAAATATCGATGTTTTCAGGCAAAACCGTTTGTCATCTCCACCCCTATAGCATCCAGCCCCCCATAGCGTGTTTTGAATATGTACTTACGAGAGTGGCTATGTCGTACAATACGAGTATCACACCTCCCTTACAACGTGCCAACTTATAAGTCACTAACGTCTCTGTTTCTGTTCCAGCGACCATCCCCAAATGTGGCGGCTGCGAGAAGCCCATTGTGGACCGGTTCATTCTGAAGGTGCTGGACCGCTGCTGGCACAGCTCCTGCCTCATCTGTGCCGACTGCGGCGCCAAGCTCGCCGACAAGTGCTTCGTCCGATCGGGACAGGTGTTCTGCAAGGAAGATTTCTTTCGGTGAGACACGCATGAGTTCATCAACTCAATTCCAAGGAAATGCCCATCGTTTCTTTTCCCATGCCTCTTTCAGTTTGTCTTAATTTAGGTGCTTTCACAGATCACACATTTACCGCTGTATACCAATGTGTAATGTCCTATGCTTCAAACGATCTATGGCTAGAATTCGGGTGAAATAGGTAAATAGGTGTCCCTCACGTCACATTCACAACATTCAGCAATCAGCATTACAACATGCCATGCTGCCTCAATCCTTTTATGTTCCTGATTTTTGTTAATTTTCTTGTTTATTCAGCATCAGCTAAACACCCCCTTTTGTGCCCACTATGCTCCCCAGACGGTACGGGGCCAAGTGTTCCGGGTGCGACGCCGGCATCCCTCCCGACCAAGTGGTGAGACGCGCCCAGGACAACGTCTACCACCTCAGCTGCTTCGTCTGTGTGCTCTGCAACGGCCAGCTGAACACAGGAGACGAGTTTTACCTCACCGAGGACGGCAAGCTGGTCTGCAAGGACGACTACCAGCAGGCCAAGCAGCGCGGTGATGCCGGTAGGTCAGCGAGGCCAGGGCGGGGAGAACGTGGGTGGATGGAGGTGATTGGTTGCCGGTTGGTAAAGGTCAACGAAGATCGCCTCAAGTTACAAACAGTCGTGATTACCGGTGAACTTTAGGGTTGATTGTTTGTCGTATCTTGCTTGCCCTTCTCGAGCGTTCAGAGTTGTGTTACCTTTGCGTTTGGCTTTCCCTTTGCCCACCAGCCACTCAAAGTATCTTTGTAAATGTCAACTCTCCGTGACATTTAGCGACCTGAGCATCTTTCTAATAGCTAGTTCACCTTTCTAACATTCACTTCTCCTTGCGCAGAGGGCGACTCAACTAACAAGCGGCCACGGACGACGATTACGGCCAAACAGCTGGAGACGCTGAAAGTGGCCTACAACAACAGTAGCAAGCCGGCACGGCACGTTCGGGAACAGCTGAGCCAGGAGACCGGACTGGACATGCGCGTCGTGCAGGTCTGGTTCCAGAACAGGTCAGTTCCAGAGAGAGGGAGGGAGGGAGAGAGAGAGAGAGAGAGAGAGAGAAAGAGTTAGAGAGAGAGAGAGAGAGAGAGAGAGAGAGAGAGAGAGAGAGAGAGAAAGAGAGAGAGAGAGAGAGAGAGAGAGAGAGAGAGAGAGAGAGAGAGAGAGAGAGAGAGAGAGAGAGAGAGAGAGAGAGAGAGAGAGAGAGGAGAGAGAGAGAGAGAGAGAGAGGAGAGAGAGAGAGAGAGAAAGAGAGGAATGGTGAATGAGCTGAATTACTCTCGTGAGGTGATTTGTCATGGATAGTTTTCTCGACGTTGCATGCATTATTATTTTCGTTACCCATTTTGTTTACCAATCATCTGTCTATTTTGTCCACTTCTCACAAATTTATTTGTGTTTCCGATCACATCACCTTTACTAAAACACAGAAGCAACAAACGATTCGGCTGAATCCTGAGCCCGCTCTCTTAGTCTCCCTTTTACCAGACTCCCCGGGGCTCAGACTCCGCCCTAATCAGTGGATGGTCGATCGCGCCAGGCCCGTTTGCCGCGGCGCAGCACTTTCATCTAGCCGCCGCGCGTGTTTTGCGGCTTCCCGCCTTTCATCTGCGCTCGGCCGATACCGTTTCCATGGCAACGCCAGCTTCCTCCCGGCAGCCTCCTCTGCGCTGGACCAAATGTGCCGAGCTTCCGGCCAGATTTAGATTGCACGGCTTCGGAGCTTACCGGGCTTATAATGCTTCTGGGGGCAGTTGCATCATGCTATATGATTTTATCCAAAGTTGTCGCATTACTTGATTAAATGTACTCCTGTTGTTGTGTTCCATAAGTGTAAGGCTACTGAAATTGCTAAACACTTGCATAGCAAAGCTTTTGATGCAGGCCACCATATTCCACTGAACTCATAACATCCTTTCAATAATCTAATAAGGGAACATGCCGCATTGTTAACATAAAATATAATTGCATTGAAATTCGCATACAATCTTCTACTTTTAGCATATACTATCAACATATTTTCTTATATTGATGTATACATTTTATAACCCTCTTTATGTACATCGAACTCAACATGCATGCGCTAAAAAAAGTGGAAAAAACTGACACAAATATTTTTCTTTTATGTGCAAAACAGCTTTTCTGGTGAACTCATAAAAGCTGTTGAAATTGGAATGATTAGAATCACTAGCACTGAGCAAACCTTGAACTTCTTTTAGCATATTTGACCCATTATGACCTCCCATGTGACCTCTTGCAGGCGAGCCAAGGAGAAGCGGCTGAAAAAGGACGCTGGCCGTTCCCGCTGGGGTCAGTACTTCCGAAACATGAAGCCCGGAGAGAAGCGGCGGGGAGGCGGTAGCGGAGAGAAGACCTCCGAATCCGACGACGACACCGTTTATAACAACAACGACGGTAAGTGATGGCGCGAGTCTCGCATCAAATGTTTCAAAGAATGCATTCCTTTATCGTTTCGGCGTGTAAATTTTGCATTATGAAATATATTTCTAGTTTATCGTCCAAGATTGCGCTATGCATCATCGTTCAGCTGTTTAATTCAGCCACTAAAATTCATGTAATTTATGTTGCTAGTGTGGTAAGTGAGCATTGTCCAACGCCAAAGGTCACGTGGGAAGGGCCACCCACCTGCCCCTGGGCCCAAACTTACCAAATGCCGTGAATGCGCATTCATGGCATTTGGTAACATTCAGAACTATTCCACATTCACTTATTCATTCGTTGTGGCGTTCATAATCATTCACGCTATCAAAATCATTGGACAAGATTAGCTGGAGGTAAATAAAAAGGATATCTTTGATATCAGTGCCGTTAACTCCGGCCAGTGCTGCCAAATCCTATTCACGGCATTGGTAAGATTGGGCAGAGGCGGATCCAGCTCAGAGTTTTTTTGGGGGGGGGCAAACCATAACAATTTATCGATTCTTTCCATGCCTCGTCCATAGGCGTAATGTTAGCCTACATTTGCCGTTTGGGGGGGGGGGGGGGCAAATGCCCATTTTGCCCCCCCCCTGGATCCGCCACTGAGATTGGGCCCAAGGCTCAGGATGTTGACCAGGCTAGCCGCCTGCACTGGACGCCCGTGATAATAATTTAGCTAGCCAGGTAATATCCTACATATGCCCTCTCTCCTCGTAGGTGTTGCCTATATTTTCCTCATTTTCTTGCGCTTGTTTAAAAACAACGAACATCATAGTTCAAACTTTCTAATCTCTTTTTTAAAAATAATTTGAAAACCAGTAACGTTTTTTCAGTATAAGAGGAAATATTCCGGATATTGCACCAAGATCATAAGCATATTACACAGTATGCTATTGTTTCATGTTTAATGTTAAAGGAAGACTGCCACCTTCAAAAAGTTTTCTCAGATCGGCCTATGATTTATTCCCTGGACAAAACAAAATTTTAGAATTCACCTGACAAAGTATCATCACGTGAATCGCGAAAAAATTATCGATTATCATACAATTATCAATCGGTTAATGTCTAGCGACAATGTTTACACATCACTAGACTTCAAGGTCATAAGATTATTACATTTTATTTGAAAAAGTAAGGTATTTTATGATTTACTAATATATGATTTCATAAGAAATTGGCCATGTTTAATTTATTTTGCATTTAACTTTGTAAAACATTTAAAAATCATGGCTTTATTTGGAATGGGTCTGGCCCATGTTAAACCCCATTTCCCACACTTTTTTGAAAAAATGAACTACTGAATATATAAGTTTAACTTTTATTTTGACACTCCAAAATTCTTCTCTGATCTCGAAACAATCAAAGTTTTGACATATATTTGCCAAAAGATAAGAAAATTCATGTTTCAAAGTTATCGATAAACAGTAGAGATGTCGGTTTTCTTGGACTAAAAAAATGGCATCAAACTGAACTTTGGTCTCCGATTTCTCGCAAACGGGTTCGAATTTCGGAAAACCGACTTCAGTCTGGGACATAGGTGGCTCAGCTCTAGTGAAAACCGTTTTGTGAAAAAAGGTGGCAGTCTACCTTTAAATGTTTATGATTATCGTCATATCTCTATTTATTCATTGCATCCCTACAGATCTGGTGACAAACTGCATCGGCGAGCCCTTCTAAATCTCTCCCTCTCCCTAACCCGGGCACTTTTCGTCGCGCCGGCAGCCCCTCGACACGGACTAATCGGCGGCAGTTTTCTGGTCTCCGGCGGGGCCGGCGCTCCCCGCCGGCCCGGAGCTGCCTCCAGCGACCATTTTTCCAGCAGCTTTCCTCTCTATCCCGCGGGATTGGGAAAACTATTAACAAATTGACTGCAACGCCGAATGGGTGGAGCCGGGGAGCGGGACGACACAGAGCCGATGCATCATAAATTCGGGGCTCTGCCTCGGCTGCCCGCGGGGAGGGGGGGGGGGCTGGGGAGCGGTGCGATCAATGGCAGCCCCCTGAGGCGCGGCTCAGCGGGCGGCTCGGCAGGCGGCTCGGCAGCTTGGTGGCAGCGCTCTGCGTTCAGCGTTCATTGGCCGATGGGTGACCGGAGACGGGTGGCCGCCGTCGTGCCTTTCTTCCGCACCATTGCCACGGCAGGTTCAGAGCAGGGGTCGACACCAACAGCAGATGGTGCCAGATAGGGAGAGCTAGCCAAATAGGCGACACGACCCCTGGGATGGCATGTAACCAGAAATGCTTAGCTTGCAGGGAGAGGAAACGGGTCACGGTATTTCGTGGTAGTCATCACATAAATTCACAAGCATGTAACTGAAATAACTGGAATGCTTTAAAACATACATGTAAATGTTTAACTCAGGCAGGGATTGCATAAAGCGCAAGGTGAATTGTTAACCCGCGCCCCACTGGGGTCTGTGTATAACACGCCCTACTGGGGGGGGGGGGGGGCTATTCATAGCCCCCCCTCCTAACTCCGAAACTACTGGGCCGATCGTCAAAATTCAAACGGCGTCTGATAGCCCCGGAAAAACTGTCGAGCGAAACCTAATTTCATTGACCTCGAGGTCACCGATGACGTCACAGATCAGGTCAAAGTAAAAATTATTAGCACTTTGGCTTGTTCACATTTTGGGCTCTGGCCGCCGTCTTACAAGTCAGATCAGGCTCATTTTTGGTTTCCACACTCGTGAACAGATGCTCTAGCTACCTTGAGGGTACCAAACTTGTACTTTGATTTTCAGGTCAGGGTCAGGTCATCACAGGTCACGAAAATATTATATCATGCGTCGGTCACGTGACACATGTTTTATGGTCCATTTAGGCCATAGATTTCGAATTTGATGTCGTCTGTGTCATTCAAGGTCATTTTGAGTCGAAATTAGCTTAGGTCAGGTCACTTTCAGGTCAAAAAGGTCAAATTTTGAAGTTGAAATTTTTCAACAAAAAAGGTGTCTATTAGATGCAGTTTGAGCTCAGAAACACGATGGTGCCATTTATATTGGTGTACGATGCCAAATACGTACTGAAAAATTGATTTGAAAAATTAATAATTGTGAATTTTTTGCAATAATGCGTATAACTTGGCCATTTTTGAAGATATTTAGCTAAAACTTGCTTGAGTTAGTCATAATCATGCGTTCTGTCACATATATTCCGGTTTTTTCGAAAAGTCAAAAACTTTTTGAAAAAAATATAAAAATATAAATTTTGAATATTATTATATAAAATTTTCGAAATTTTCAAAATTTTGAAAATCCGAGATAGCAGTTTGATAGCGCGGTCAATTCTGAGTCCTTTCATGCAAAGAAATTGGATCTAGCTTAAAAACTGAGCTCCTGGGAGCGATTGCCGTGGTTCAATGTTTTGCGTCGAAATCGGACGAACATGACGTCACTCTGACGTCATTTCCGGCCGACCTATGGTAGCTACGAAGTTCAAATTTTGACACAAGGTGTCAAATTGATGCAGCCGAAGGTAATGGAAGTTTGGCGTCGATTCGTCAAGCGGTTTGGAAGTTATTGCAGAAAAACGGGAGGGGGGGCTATAAATAGCCCCCCCCAGTGGGGCGCGGGTTAACACATTCAATACGCAGCTGTCGAGAGTGGCTGTAGTATCGCGACTTGCCAACAGATGGTAGCGGTATCACGCGCCGTAAAATAGACTGTGCCGCACGACACTCCAGCCTGCAGCTTTCTAACGGAGCGGCAGCTTGTGGCAGCTAATGCGCAACTACGACTATGCGATTAGATTTAATGAGGGATTAACAGAGGAGTTACATCAAATTGGCCACAGTGTCAAAACTCACAACATACCAAAAGTGCCAACTATGCCAAAAGTCTCCCTTTCAGCTTGTGTCCGCTTGAACATTTCTTTGATATGTAACGTTAATTCGTTTGCGTCATGACATCTTATGTTGAGTCTGAAGGTCACTCACTGTCTGCTGGTAGCATAAATAAGGAACTGTTGTAAGGTGACCAAAAGATAGCAGTGCACACAGTTAGGTAAGTGCACAGCTTTAGTTCGCTGCATCAGTTCGGCTCGAACTGTTCGTTCGCATGATAGACATTCCATAGATCCAGGATTAACTCAATTAAAAATACGTACAATAGCAAATACCATGATAACATTAGTCATTAACGGAATGTCTTTTATAGCCAAAATTCACATCAAATGCTCGTGTAAAAAGGTCGTTTGTAAAAAGTACAGAGATGCGAACTGTAGGTTATAGATATACACGAAACAAGTATGATATACACGAAACAAATATTATAATACACGAAACAAGTATGATCGATGCAGTTGGAAAGGAATGCAGCACAATAAGCCGCCATACCATTCCATTCCCCGTCTGTGATTATCCTGTGACTCTTTGGCCTTTACAAATGGCAGCGTTCAACATTCAACCAGTTCCCTGCCATTTGGCCTGTCACTCCCACAACGCATGGCGCCATTGGGTGCTTCATACCGCTTTGTGCAAAGCGCTGCGTCGCAACTAGCTATTACACTGCGCGGCTAAAGCGGCGCGTTTAAGGCAAATGATGCGCCGATGACTGGGCTCGCGTCGCAAGCGGCTGACTCACGGGCTGTAACTGGTCCCCAGGGAGCTGCAGCTTTTAGCGACACGTGGACCGCCGGCCCGGCAATGGATCTATTCGGCCAACCCTTCACCCGGCGGGCCGATAAAGCGACGTGTTGGGTTTGAGCGATGTCCGAGGGCAAATTGAACTGTTGTGTTAGGGACACGCGAAAGGAGTGAGTGGTGCACCATTCCGGCGAATGGTGGGGTGTAGCTTACAGGTCAGGACGCTGTTGGTCGTGCGAATGCAATATGCATGCCTGAACGCATCACTTTGCCGCCTTACCGTTTGTTTTCAAGTTTCAGTAGCATCCAAAGAATCACTGAATGCATCGAAGCGTGTTAGCAATAATCAACGTCGCAACATTTTCACAAACATTCACAACGGAAGATATTT